TTGAAGTGTCAACAAACACCACTTCTATTTGAGAAAATACCTTGTTTAGCTTTCATGCCGAAAGAAAAATCATTTTAACATTTCCTTCTTCATGCAGAAAGAAAAATCATTTTAACATTTCCTTGAAGATTTAAAGTGGGTATTGGTTATTTGACAAGTGTGTTTATGGTCAGCTTGTTGTACAATAATGGTATTTTTAAACTCATCATGTATCTTTAAAACTTTACAAATGGGACATGTATTTTTTCCTGTGGTATTTGTGGGCTGTAATTTACTATAATTCCTCAGGGACTGAGCCTGTGTCTAGTGTTACATCTGATAATACAGGCTCCATTCCTCCATCTAGTGGTCACTAGGTGGAAAAGCAATCAACCACAACTGTCTTCAGAGAGGAAAAGACCTTTTTTTTTATTTTTCCAAAGAAAAATAACCCATAATACAAAGTAATGTACTGTAGCATTCCCTGATGAGGGTCAGTTCACTAAACCCTGAGGCGGGGCCAAGCCTTCTCAATATTATTTTCTACCAAAACGCATTTGTGTGGTGTAATTTTTCAGGAACAATAGTCACCCCTGATGACTGACATAATGTTTTTATTTGGCCAATGTGACAAATTAGTATTGTTGGTTGCAAAAATGTAGCAGCTCAGATGAATCATTATTGATTGAGAATGCTCCCCTGAGGCAAATCACTGGTGTGTGGCATGCAAATACTACAGATACCAGCAGGTGTTTATTAGCTCTTTGATCTCCATTATTATAACAAATGCAGAATACATTTTCACATATAAATGATGTGCTGAGATCATGTGTGCTCCACACCCCCACAGCCAGCAGGTACTGTGGTCTTACTACATGTTTGTAATTTGATCTGAACAGCAAACAAAGACAGTCTCTGGGCAACCATTATGCCTGACAGCAGATCTATGACCTGCACTGCCAACCATAACCACAGTGAGTTTCCCCACTGACAATAATGACTGCAGTTTTAGATCCCTTCAAGCCTGTCTCTGCAGAGCTACACATCATCAGACAGCCGAACTCCAGTCTGTACCAGGCTGCCAGTGGAGATGAACTGGAACCTTTTGGTAGATTTTACACCCCTTCTCAGCATGTCGCCCTGGCTCCTTCACGACGCGATGTCCCCCTGCTGGACCCATGCTGCGGTCAGCTGAGCGCGGGAGCAGAGGTGGACCTGGGGATAAAAGGTCGGCAGAAATTCATAGACTTCCATCACGTGGCTTCTGCTCTCTGGGTCCCTCCAGGTTTCAGTGAGAGGCCCCAAACAGCCCTTTCTGCAGACCTGATCGAGAACAAGGCCTGGAACTCTAGGAGGACCCCGAATGCAGTCTTGAGAGCCAGTCTCAGTGGTAAAATAACAATTATATCTGCATTTGTTCTATAGAACATTGCAATTAAAAACTGCACCTATTGCTGATGATAATTTCTATCAGATGCTGTGCAAATCAAAGTTATGGGTAAGGCAATCAACTGGAAACAAACTTGATTGAAATTAATTATTTTAATAATTTTCAAGGAAAAACAATCACTGAACATAGAACCCTGGATCCAGCTTCTTTTATGTGAAGATAAAACAATAAACTGAAAGTTTGAAATTTGAACTTCTCTTTGGACAACACAAGTTTGTTTGAATCCATCACTTCTAGCTTTTACAAACTGTATTGAATGTTTTTCACTATTTTTGCATTTTTATTAAACAAACAACGAATGAATCAAGAAAGTATTTGGCAGATTGATTAATATTGACTGAACTGATTACGTTGTCCCTAAATTTCACTTTGTTTTGCAGCAAGACAAGATAAAAACGCATGCACACATCATGCAAATACAAAACAAAACAAAACAAAAAAGGTGATAAGCAAAACAAAATTTTTCTTTAGACAATTTTAAAATATGTTAAATAATGAGTAAGAATATCTTCAAACAAACCAGTGCCACAAACATTACACACTACTGCTGTCACTTGCTGTGTGCACATTCACCCCTGAATGACTAATTATGCTGTTAAATGTCCCTGCCCGGTCACTAGACAGCAGCAGTATTGGTGCAGCAAATTGTTTATGAGGCATGGTGGAGGACACAGTTTGAATGCTTCCTTTAGATTTTGTTTTTTGTTTAACCAAATATTAGCTACTGTAAGAAGAATAAAATTTCTGCATTTTGTTTTGTTTCAAACTGAGTCTCTATTTGAGCTAACCGATAGCTAGCATAGGCTACACTGTGGCAGAATCATGAATACTGGTTTTATTCTGATTTCTGTTTGCCATTTGTGCTTTTATTGCAGTTTTACAGATGTGTATTTCTACTGAGTATCCAAGAAACGCTCTTGCATTTACTGGAGGACCTCAAACTGTTAGATAGCGTGTCTGACTTAGATAAGGGCGACACATTGCAAGGACATTATACTCACCATTTACCTTGATAGTATGCCTTAATGCTGTGTTAATTTCCATTTAATCAAATGATCACAAACAAGCTGACACATAACAAACCTGGGGGCAGGTAGCAATCAAGAACAGGAGTGCTAGTTGTGTGTGTGTGTTCTGAACCTGATGGGTGCTTCATACACAAATCACAAAGAGCAGAAGGAACAGGGGTCACTAGGGGGTCACCCCAAGGACTCCTCATAGGGCAGTTTGACACTGAGAGCAGCTACTACTGTGCATAGTTCACAATAAGCCTGTATTCTAGCAACTTGAATGCTGTTGTGTCATCCTAAGGTTCACCCAATCCAACTAAAGTTCAGCTGCTCTCACTGAGGACACCACGTAAAGCATCACTGCACAGCTACAGTCTTCCCGATAGACAAACTGAACCTCAGGTGGGTGATGAATGAGTTTCTTTCTTTTTTCCTAAGTGCATTGCAAAACTGCATTTATTTATCTATGATTTTTACTCCTAATCCGTACATACCATACAAACTCTATTAACCCCAGCAGGTCTTCATTTTTCCTCTTTAACTACTGGCTTTGTTTATATGCAGAGCAGTTATTGTTACATTACTGGTGAGTTAATCACTTCACTATTATAGCACATTAAATATGAAAGAGAAATCCACAAACACATACTTTCCTTTACACTAAGCATCACATCTCAGCCTGCTCAGACGTAGGCAGGTGTTCACTTTGAGAACATAATTATACTTTATTATTTTATTTCTGAGCCAGCTAATTGAAGTAATCATAATTACCCTGACAAACAGTATTACAGTTCAGGAGAAGCTTCACAGCATTGCAGTGAAGAGTTTTAAGTGTTGTCTAGTGAATGGAGGCTTGATTGGTGGCTGTGTTTAAGCGGTCTGGAGGAGGGAGGTGAATGCAGCACTGCTTGTTGATGCATCAAATTGTCTGACTGACTCACACAGATCTTTGTTTTTACTTGTGTTTTGCATTAGTCATTTTGTGATTTTAAGCGCACATTGACAGCATAATTTCAGTTGGTTGGTCAAGTTCATTATTTTGGTCCAGACTGAAGATATCACAACAATTACTGGATGCGGGGCCACGGACGTTCACGGTCTGCAGAGAATGAGTTTGTGTCAAATTCATTCATTACAGACTGATAATACAGCAGCCATTTGTAGGTTCATCAGGCTGGAGTTAATAGCATTACGCTGTTTTATTGTACATGGGTTCTTTATATGATACAGTATAAAACTTTAAAAAAAAATACTGTCTTTATGCTGAATTTATGCAAGAAAGAAAAGAGGATGACAGACAATTAATAGCAGTAGGTAATTATATATGTATTTATTTATATACATATACTGTATATGAATATATATATATATAGGACCATCCCGAAGTGGGGCAAGTGGTAAATAAATGTGTATGTATATATATATATATATATATATA